GTGTGTGTGTGTGTGTGTGTGTGTGTGTGTGTGTGTGCAGGAGGGGATTTCTGAATTACAATCCGCTGGTCTGCTGCCAGACTCATCAGTCAGTACAGCCACAGAGCATCTCCTGCCATCAGCCGGCGGGAAGATCCTCGTCTTTAAGAGACTCGTTTGACTCCGGCGTGAGCGGGAATCCTAATATAAGCGGATGAAATATTCATATGCAAAACTCCAGATAACTGGCCTCTGTCTTCAGTTCGTAAACATCTTAACGCATTTAATAAAATGAATTCAAAGCCCAGGCCGTAGCACACTTATGTCCCCTCTCGCTCTTTTCTTGACCAAACTGAATTTTAAACGACAAAATGAATCACTCTGCATAAGTGATCAATGATTTGTAGCTGTGATATTTGCTCTGGTACAGAGGAGCGACAAAATCAATGTTTGAAACAAATCAATTTGCATTTGCAAATGTTACAGATGTCCAGGTCAAGGTCACCAGCAGGTTAAAGGTCACCAGCGGTTTTTAGTTCATAATCCTGATCTGAACAGCTTCACATTCATTTTAAGACTCATTTGTGCGTTATTATTTCTGCCGAGCCGTTTGCAGACAAACAGCTTTAATAACATGAAGCAATATTAAATTAATTTGAACACATGAGACTCAATCAATCAATCACTCTCCCCATAAATAAATATTCTCCCAAGCAATTTTCAGACAAAAATTTTAGATAACATTGATACTTAAATTAAGCATTATTATTATTATTATTGTTGTTGTTAACGAAATATTTATTTCTCACACAAGTTGATTAATTAAATATGCTTAAGTAGGTACAAACAAAATACATTCATGCATTTAAAGATTAAATCTAAAAATAAAATAAAATAAAAAATAAAATACTATTTTGCACATATAAAATATATTTAGATTTGTTTTTTATTTTATTTATTTATTTTTTTTAGTTGTTTTACTGTACAAAAATCAAAGGCAGTACAGAAAAAAATTAATTTAAAATTAATTATCATAATTTTTTTTTTATGAAATCAACAAGAATATTGGTGGGAAATTGTCATGAAAATTAGACACAATAAAAAAAAATCCTAATGATTCAAAAACGGCATTAATTTAAATTAATAATTTCATTTTCTAACTATAATCTAACATATCATTTTATATATTTATGACCTGGACATGTTCCTGACAGGTCTCAGATTCTTCCATAATGCATTTCTATACTTTTAATGAATCGTCATAACTCATTTTGTCTGTCATATTGTTCAACAAACGTTGAGCTTCTTTTGATTGCACTAATCATCAACACCATTCAGATTCAGTTTTAAATCATTGTACATCAAAAGTCAAACGCAAAGCTTTACAAAAGATATGGATTTGCTCTGGTCTCAGACATTACTTGTGAATGAAATGCATTTATAATGGAAAAGAAGTTTCCAAACTTGTGGTTTTCAGTGGTTTTTATACTTTATGGTTCCTGCATCTAACAGTGGGTTTAATGTTCTGAAGGACACCGTTTCTGTTCCACACATGCATTAACGGTCTGTACAAAACCTCCTCCATCTGAAGGCCAGCGAGTGTTAATGAAACAGACTCGTGTGTCACTGCGAGTCTTGATGCAGATCCAGACGCCGAATACCTGCAACCTTGAGCACAGACCTCAGCTGAAGCCGCCAAACGGCATTAAACAGCATTTCAGAAACACACACAGACTCGCTGGAATGCAGATGAAATATTGATACGTAAAAATCCTGCATCTCTCCCCGAGTGTCTCCTCCTGATTAATTATTTCTAGCAGCATCAAGGTCTGTTCCTGTTCCTGAGCGCATTTCACTGACCGCTGCTGATGTGTTTGGGATCATAGAAGATCTTTAACATTTTTCATGGAGCTGGAGAAATGTCTATTAAAAAGGAAGAAAAAAGTCTTATGTACACAACATGTATACAAACTGTCCTTGGCGAGTCAAATAAAATTAATTAAAATAAAACATTTAATAAAAAATAAATTTCATTAATTCAGATGAAAATAAAAAAAAATACTGATAAAATTAGTATTAATTTTTATTGATTAATTAAGGAATATAATTGATTATTATATTGAAATTTCTACAATTATATACAAATTATTTTGTGGTGAAGTAAATACTACAGAAAAACAAATGCAATTTCTACTTTGGATAATTTAGTTCAGGCAAGAATAAAAAAAAAGTAAATTCCATATTAAAGCTTGTAGAAATTAAAGTTTGAACTTATAATTTTGTGACATCTGCACTTCATTTTCTACTCAAAATGACGCATTCATACTCGAACACTATCCGCGGATTGTTTACGTCATTGTGTATTGTGAACCAAGTATTGAAGGTAATAACTATAGAGTTGACATATTATTTTAAAAAGGATAACATGTTTGTAAGTGAACCACATGCTTTAATAGCATGCTTTGATTTTCTTCAGTGCTACTTTGTTCGAGTAAAGTTTACAAACCGTGACTGAGTGAAATCTACTTGAGTATCGCTGAGTAAACTTAAAATAATTACGTGGAAATTACCCATCAATCTCTAAAGGCCACGTTAAATTGATTTATGTCCTTTGCTAATTTTGCATAACTTCATTAAGTAGATTTGACTTAATTCCATACTTAAATTTTACTTAAAAAATATGTGGAAAAACTTGCAAAAGTAAAATTAAGTACATTTTGATTTCGAGTATTTTTGAGTATTTTATTGTGATTGGTCAATAAGGGCATGCTGCAGTCAAATATATGTAAAATAAATCAAATAAAATTAAATAAACACACAACAAGTTAAAAAAAACTGCCCTTGGAAATAAATAACAGTAAAATAACAATAATTAAGATTTAAAAAATGCAATAAAAAATTATTAATAAATTTAAAACAATTAATTCAAAAAATGATAAAAATTATTAATCAATTGTGTTTATTAATTAAGAAATAAAACTGATTATTACATGGAAATTTGTCATTTATATGTACATTTTGAATACTTTATTGTGACTGAATTCATAAAATAATGTAATAAAATTAAGGAATAAAACTGATTAATATTATTTGAAATTCTGGAGTTTGAAAATTAAAATATTTGGAGTATTTTATTGTGATTGGTAAGTAAGGGCATTCTGCAGTCAAGTATTTGTAAAATAAATAAATTAAATTACAAATTAAATAACGTACACACAACAAGTAGAAAAATTACCCTTGATGAGTAAAATAACATTAATTAAAATAAAAAATGTAATTTAAAATTAAATAATTTAATTAATAAATTAACATTTAAAACAATTAATTCATAAAATGGTTAAATTATTTTTTATGTTAATTAAGGAATATAACTGATTATTATTTGAAAATTTTGAATATTTTATTATGATTGGTCAATAAAGGCATCCTGCAGTCCAATATTTGTAAAATTAATAAATTAAATTATAAAAAATATATAACATGTATACACAGCAACCATACAAACTCGAGTAAAATTAAAGTAATTACAATTAAAATTTTAATTTAAAAAAGCATTTATTTAATTAATAAATTAAAATAGTACATTATTAATTCATAAACTTATTTTATTTATTTATTTATAAATTATTTTATAATTTTATTTAAAATTACTTTATTTAGTAATTAATGATTAAAACTAATAACTACATGGAAATGTTGATAAGGGCATCCTGCAGTCATATTTATATATATTTACACATGCTATGAGACCAGAATGACACTGTAGTGCTGATAGCCAACGAATCCGAGTCGGACACTTGATCCAAACCTCAGCGGCCAGATGTGTAATTAGGATTGACTTTACACCGCAGGGCCCGTCGATCCTGGAGAACCGAAGTGGACCAGGCACCTGAGAGAAAACCGTGAAGCACTCGAAACACTCGCAGCTGTCAGGAAAGAGCTGCTTGTTTCGGGTCATCCAGCTGCTCGCATTCAAACGCATGATTCCCAGCACATCTCAACCTGC